CTAAATATATGGCCCGAGTTGAAGAAATGCTGACCACCTGCAGCTCCCATTGACTTGGGCAGCAGTTGTGGATGCCCATCTTTGAAAATCACTTATTTTATTAGCCTAAATATTAATTTAGGTACCTAACTGTAGGCTCCCATATTTGAGAATGTTGACCTGTAATCCCATGTGGATGGGAAAGGAGGCTTTCACAGGGAAGCAGCGACCTAAACTCTGCTGAGGCATGTGTCGCTGTGCAATTCTTAACTGTCTGCAGTTTCTGAGAAATTTTTAAGATTGAGAATACAATATGAGTCCTTAATTCTAAATCAATACACCCAATAAAATAGGCATAAAGAGAAGAAAGGAGGCTTGAGTCATTACAGGGGCAAAAGTTGAGGCTTGTATTAGGATTCAATATTGATATGGAAAATGAGAATAAACCCTCCTGGTTTCAGGACATGAACCAATTTCTGGCACTAGTTATGAAAAAGTTTCCTTAAGGGCAAGTTTATTTTTGTAACTGTCTGTCAAAGGCTTTCTTACTCCTTCCTTTGAAACATCTGTTGCTGGCCGCTACTAGAAACTAGACTGTGGAATAGATGGACCATTTGCAGACATGCCAAACCTGTGGGGAAAAATGCAGAAATTGGGCTTGTTTTTGGCTTAATTGGCTTGTGAATGCTTGTTGGCTAGTTTTTTGGCTTGTTGGGCTTGTAGCTTGTTGCTTCTTTGATCCCCTCCCGGCAAGCAGGGGTAAGTGGGGCGGGGGGGGGCAGCGGCAAGGGAGGAGAGAGTCAGGAGTGCACAGCAGGCCCACCAGAGTACCGGACTGGACGCCGGGGGGATCTAGTCACATAAAGTGTTGGGGTTCTTGTTTGGGGATTGGCTTGTTTGGCCTTGTTTTGAAATGGGATTAACTTGATTTTTGGCGTATTGTGAAAGTTAGGGTGCTTATTTACCGCGTGACAGTTGGCAACTGTGATCATTTGTCTAATCTGATATGGCAGTTCCTGTGCATGTCTGTATATTTTTAAAAGATTGACTTTCCTGGATTTAAAATGTCAGTGTCTTTTTTTCTACAATCTTGTGTTTTTAAACTCTTAAATTGCTTACACACCTACTCAGTCATTAATTCTAGTATAATGAAGACTTTCTTTAATTTCTTAAACACTTCAGTGATTAGTACTCATTGAAAGGAAGCTTACCTATATCTGCAGCTGGTGCTTGTTTGTAGAGTATGCTTACTTATTTGCACCCTCGCTTAAAAATTTGTGTGATGGAAATTAAAATTTCTATTTAGCTAGCTAGCAAAACTTTAGTGAAGCAAAGGTACTTCCTTCAATGAAGGAAAAACCATAAAGCAATGAAAGGTAAACTGAACTAGTATGTAATTAATTTGATCATTGATTTTCATTTTTTCCCCTTAGGACCTTAAGGATCCTACTTGGAAACAGTGGAGAGAATTCATTGTTAAGTACTCATTTTTGCCATATCAGTTAATAGCTGAATTTGCTTGGGATTGGTTGGAGATACACTATTGGACATCACGATTTATAATTGTTAATGCCATGTTGCTCTCTGTTCTGGAGTTATTCTCCTTTTGGAGGCTCTGGTCAAGAAGGGAACTGAAGTAAGTCTTGCTCAGATGGTTTCAATTGTTTATGGTTGCTATTGAAGATAGTGTGGGGGGGGGGGGGGGGGGGAAAAGGGGACAATTGGGTTATGTTTGTAATTTTGACAATTAAAATGACCATGTTGAAACAGCACCATCAAGGTGAATAAGTATTAGATGAATCTGCCCACAGAATCGATGTAGACCACAGTTGGTGAATAATATAATTGATATTTTACTTATGGACATTTGAGTGACTTTTAATCAGTACATCTGTTGATTCTGAATACTAGTACTATACATTCTACTGCTTCCCATAAATTCGCTAATGTTAATTCTCCAGGAAAAAGCTTCAAGTTTCTATTATGGCAATCTTGATGTAAGGAGTGTATGCTAAAGATCCAATGCAAATTAAGACCGTCTAATTGGCTTGGAAATTCAGTATAGTACAATAGTTCTTGGAAGATGATGTTTTTTTTTTCTCAAATTTAGATTACTGGTATTTATTAAGGCTTCACTTAAGATGTTCATCACCTGTTACAGAGCCAGAGAGTGGGAGTAATTACTGTTTACCAAGCACTATTCTAGTTTGTCTTCCAAAATAAATGGCATCAATATTGCTTTATTAGAATAGAAATGAGCAGTCATTAGTGTCTACTTTCATGCTGTGCTTGGAGGGGATGGGCAAAAAGAGGGTTAACAAAAAACATCCTGTCAAAACATTATCTTTCTACTACTGGAGGACAGAGTAGGCTTTGTGGAGAACAATCTACATTTTTTTTCTCTATTTAAGCAATTATCTTAACTTGCTATAAACTACTGAATTCTTGTGGCTCAGTAGCAGTATTTTATCTGAGTAGGCCAGGACAGAAGCTACACCTGAAAGGCATCTGTTGGAACCATAGGATGCAATTGGTGAGAATGTGGTAGACTAGGTGGCATCTCACAGATTGAATTAATGTTGTAATGACTACTCAGAGGTATTTTTCTTCATTCATTTGTTTTAATAGCGATGTCTAGAATACCTTCTCTATAGAAAGATGATTCTCTTGCTCTTTTTTTTTTTTTTTTTTTCAGGACTATTCCTCAGAGAATGTGGAGCCATTTCTGGAAAGTGTCAACCCAGGGACTTTTTGTTGCTATCTTTTGGCCCATTATTCCTCAGTTTGTCTGCAACTGTCTGTTTTACTGGGCCTTGTACTTTAATCCAATTATAAATATTGATCTTGTGGTAAAAGAAGTACGACGTCTGGAAACACAAGTGCTGTGATTTGACATTGAATCTTTTTCTTAGGAATTGAATACCTAAGCTGTCCAAATGTCTGAAGTCAGACATCTGAAAGGAAAACACATTGCTTTCTTTGCTTGCTTCCTTTGTGGTGATTGAAAAAAATGCTCATTTTGTTAATTTAAAAAAAATTGCCTTGAGGTAAGTCCATTTTGAAGCAGTAGGTACCATAACCCTAAAGGTAGGCTTTGTTTTATGTACCATTGCCATAAATAAGGAGGATATAGTAATCTTGAATGGGCCTTGTACAGTTGCTGTAGTCATGCTATTTGATTTTTGGCTAACTATAAAAATCAGACTATAATACTACTCTTGTGCAATCTGGCTAATGCCAAGTTGTTAGGGCCTTTACACTCAATACCTTCTAAACAGTTAAAACTGAGTGCTGTGCTATTTTGTAACTTAACATTTCCTGACAGTTGTATATTATTCAAAACTTGACAGAGGGGAGCTTTTGGACAATCTCTTTAATTGGTTTACTATTGAAAATATTTGAGGCTTTTTGATTCATCTTGACATGCTAGGATGCTACAATCAAACCCATACATTTATAAACATTTGCCAATAGTGCTCATTTTAAAATTCCCTCTATTCCAACTGTATAACACTTAGTTTTCTTTGTATCCCACACCTTTTATAATTGGCAAACATGATTGGCATGACTTAAAGCTGTTTTATTCAGGCCAGTTAATTTTTATCCGTCAGAGCTGACTTAGTGCTTAATGCTCAATTTTTATTTGCTAATTTCTTAAATGAATTCAGATACCTCTCACAGTATTAATCTGATAAAGCTGCCATGATACTGTAATTGCTTATTGTAGTCTGATGTATGTAGCAAGACCTGTATCTGTAAATACTGAATGAGAAGTGATTTATTTTGTATAAAAACCCAACCAGGTTGCCATTTTGTTTTTGTGGTGTTTGAGAGAAACAGAGGTTAACTTTTGTTCTTAAAATCCTTTGTACTTATGAATCTCATCTTTGTTGAGTTTGCATTTGTATCATACTATTAATGAATTCCAGATTTGCATATGAACACTTTTAAAAGTTGGACAAAATTAAAGATTTTTTTTCTAAAACTTTCTTCCTTTAAACTAAAGAATCAAATTTACCTTTACATTTTTTCTTGTCAAAGCTCTGATATTTACCTTGTACTGTAATTGATCAATAACTTTTAGCAAATCTTCTGGCTTAAAGTTAGCCTGATCACAATGGAAACAAGATTTGTTTTTCAGAAAATGTGGATGTTCACAATTAGTTATGAAGAAAATTCATTGTACAGTACTTGTTAATTTGAAGCTTTTCTGAAGAGAAGCCCCAAAACTTTAAAGTTTGCTTACCTGACCGTGCAACCCTGCTTTACATTCCTGTAAAGCAAAAACGTTCTCTTCTGAGTATTGTAGTATATAGATCCTGACTCATGGGGATAGGTCTGTGCCCTGCGTGTTGAGTCAGGACCCTCTTTGTGTAAAAGGGGGGGCAGAATACAGGAATCCATATCATGGAGCTGTGGTCTTTGGAGACTTCCTCTGGTTCAAAACACTAGGTCCTAGTGGCTTAACCACTCATCGCATCTGCCTCCGTGGAATGAGGCTGCAGCAGGCGACCGTGGAATGAGGCTGCAGCAGGCGACCGTGGAATGAGGCTGCAGCCCAAAGGCCACACTAGTGGCCACTGGTATCTATGTTGCTACTCTATATGTGGGAGGCAGGCAGAATTTTTTTCCCTTGGTCTCTATGGGATTCCCACTCAAGTTGTACAAGGAGACCAGGATTTGACCCATACTTATCAGTTAGTAACTTAATGTCTTTTTTAATACTCAAGTGACTGTGAACAAGACAATGACGCTAAACAGTCTAATTGTGTTGCCTAGGCCAAGTGAAATTCAAAACTTTTATATAGTAAACTATTGTTGGTTATCAAAAGTGTTGCTAATAACAAAGGTTGAAAGCCCTTCCTTAAATTGACAGTGTCACTTTGAGTGTGCCTTTCCCTTGGCTAAATCTAATAATAAAATTTTAGCTTCAGGATTCAAATGAGGTTTAAAAGTAGAGGTTTTCACTCCATCCCTACATGCTGTTTTGCATATGTGGGTGATAGAACAACATCGATGAAAGAAAAATGAGTAGCAGTGAATAATACAGTGAAAGCTGGTGTTCTAGAGGCTTTCCCCATAGTTAACATTCCATTGCTGCTTGTGGTGACAAAGGTTAACAGACTATTAGACATCTCTGATAAAATCGTTCTTGATATTCAGTCCACGAAAGCTGCTACAGTTTCCCAGCTGTTAAGAACCACAACATTTCCTTTTAGCTTATGCATTATGAAAACTAGACCTGCACGAACGTTGCTGGAAGAAAAATCCATCATCATTTTTGATAGAAATTTTATTTTTTAAATTCAAAAGCACGTACAGATTTTTATAAATATTAGAGTAGTGTCCTTCTGTCTCACCAAAACTTACATTTTGGGTGATTGTTACCACATACAAAATCTGGCCAGAAAATGTATCTTGGGTAATAAGGGGCTTTAGCCAAACACTTGGCAGCTTTGCGGTCACATTCACACATTATTTTTTGGCATTTGTCTTCTAGTGAATCTGGAAAAGAAAATGAAAACCAAGTACAAATGGTTCTTAAAGTAATTAAAGAACATCAATTGGTAACAATAAGCAGTAAATGTAGTAGTCAGAAAATTGTCCTGAATGTTGTTTCCTGTACAAATTGTAACATCTTAATTTTTATAACAAGCCTTTTACTTTAACCAACTGTGATTTCTTTCCTCCTCTACTGTTCTTTACATATTTTGAAATTTTTGCTGTACTTGGTTAATGGTAAACCAGAATTCTCCCAAATTACTGGGCTAGACTGAACCTAGATGATGATGATACCTCCCAGCAGATGGAGATAGTGGGAGGAGAGGGGAGGGGATTTGTGAGCAATCCCATCTGCAGAGCTCATTTTAGCTGAGAAATTAATTTTGCTAACAGTGTTGGGAGGAGCAAACCCTCAGTGAGGAGTTCTTTAATCCTCTTATGCTTATGGAGGGATTTTATTACTTTAGCTCCTCTTCAGAAAGGAGTAATGGTAATTGTTTTGTATCCTCCTCTGCTCTAGTCAGAGAGAAGTGTCTCTTCATTCTCTGTATGTATTTAACACCCTTTTAAAAGATGCAACATTAAAAGTTAGACTTATGTACTATAAAATTGAGTTGCAAAGGTGTTAAGACTTCTACAGTAAACTTAACTCACTCATTTTACAACATGACTCGTTAAATAGGATGTTGAACATAGTGTGTAAGGTGCAATTTAACCTTACAAAAAGTTATTTTCTGTGTCTTTCACAAAGGTTTTGTTTGTAACTGTCATGTTGCAGTAACATGGTCTTTATTTTCTCCAACTCTGGTATTCGATCAGGTATTTGTAGTATACGGTGACCTGTAGAGAGCAAGTACAACAGTCTTGGAGGACCCACTTATATCAGGTGGCTTCTGACACCGTTAAAGTTGAATTGAGAAGTGTAGAGTGGATCTTTAACTCTGCCCCTGAATCACTCCAAGGTGTTGGCACAGTAACAGCCCAGTCTTGTGGAGCATGGTTAAAATCTAGTCCATGCTATGATATTGAACTGTGCTTGAAACATAACCATGTTAGATCTCAGGGCAGGCTACATCTGTAGAATAGACAAGATCTTAAATGAGAAGAATGCAGAACAGCACTCTCTCCCTTTCCCTCCCCCACCCCAAACTGTCTCCTTTCTGGCATGTCAGCACCTTAAATTTAATATTTTGCCTCTCACGAGCATGCAGTTAACTTATTTTGGCTGTTACTAGCAGGCTACTTTTAGACTAAAGTAGGAAAATCACATTTTTTTTAAAAAATGGTTAAAATGTGTTGGTTAACATTTTTAATCCTAGTGTAGAAACGGTTTAAAACTTTTTTTTAAAAAAGGTGATCACAAGCACTAATTAGCTAATGCACTATTTTAAATTTATCTTAAACATGACCAATTGTCATAATCTAGACATGTCCCCCAATGCAGCATTACATGCATTTAAATATGCTAGACTAAAACTAATTCTCAAATGCACCTGAGCAAAGCAAATTTAAATTCAAAATGTGCCTTTTCTATTGGCTAAACGTCATATTTGTAAGAAGGAGTAAGTGGCAGTAAGAAACCTACTGGGGAGACATCTTCCTGTTTCATATCAGTGTCCATATTTTTGTGTGGTGCCAACAGTAATTGCTTTCTAGATGGCTTCAGGGTTTTTGCTCCCAGGGTTTACCTCTGCAGTGGCAATACAGTTGGAACTACAATTACAGGTGAGTAACTTTTTGTCTTAAAATTTGTCAAATACTACAGCATGTTGTTTGCCCAGTTTTATGTAATCTTGTAATGAAAAACTTAGTTTAAGCAGGTAGAATTAAACTTGCTGAGACCACTAATACTAAGTTTACAACTTTTGTGGGCTTAATCCTTCCTTCTTTTTGTAAACTTAATCACAGAATAATCTTTTCAGCTTCTGTTTTGCTTTACTATTATGTGCACAGTTATAAAAATAGGGGGTCAGGTGACCAAATGAAAGGTCGAAAGCTGGACAGGGATATTAAACAAAAATTACTATCTGTTAACTTCCAGTCTCCATAGTGTGTATACTTGGTATTAGAAAGGTCTCCTCCCTTTCCCAATCTTCACCTCTCGAAGCCAGAAACCAATTTTGTGACAAAATTTAGCTACATGAATAGAAAAACATAATCTTCTCTAATCTACAGTGGGGACAGGTGTACGATAGCAAAGCATGCTTCCCTCTAGGTGTATCAAATTAAGTTGGTAACAATAATAATGGTAAGAATCAACACACATGCTCTTTTCAGTGATTGGAATTGCCATTAGCAAGTATAAAAACTTTGCGGGAGTCTTCAGGAAGGATTAATGACCTCCAAGATTGACTTCTTTAAATTAAGTCGTTTTCAAAGTAACTGCAATTAAGATATTCAGCAATAAACTAGGTAGAGATGGGGAGAGAGGACCGCAAAGATTTAACAAATGATACATAAAATAATTGTGGCTGTAGGAGTTATACAATACACACTGCAGAATTACTGAAACAATTTATATTGTAATGTTTGGCTACTGTTGTAAAATTGAGAGAGAAGTTCTACAGAAAAATGTTTGGAGTGGGGAAGGAGGTTAAATCCTAATTACAGCAAAATCCACTCTGAATCTTATTGTGTGCTGTCAATCTGAGTGAAGTCTTTCATTTCTAATTTCATTACTTTTGATTTAATTTGAGCAAAATTCTGTTTAACATAACTTGAGTTCCCATATTTCAATCTTTGTTTCTGGCTCTCCACTAAAGATAATTCTTGCGGCTGAAGGGAAATAACTTGACTTCCTTCCAAGAGAAGGAATCTTGAACAGTACTCATTGTAATTCTATTCTGCCTCTTGAAGGTATGTTAAAGCTTACAGCTGAAACTCTGGTGCATTGAAAAAAATTGTTTAAGCAGCATTTTTGTTGAACATGCATATGAATCCCATGTAGTTCCTCTTTCACACTAGTTTTCCTTATCTGAATTTTAGGGCTCAATGAATTCCTATCCTGATATCCATGGGAGATTTTTCTGCAGGGGGCCTGATGAATTAATTTAGGAAATGAGTACGTGATCAATTCGACATACTGTAGCTATTGATCAGATTGCTTAACCAGATTGCTTTTCTTAATTTTACATGGTTTTTCCAGCTGGTCATGTCATTACTTAGCAATCCTCTTCTGCCCTCCCATAGTTTGGCAAATGTATTGAAGTTTAAATCTTATGGAAGAAAAACACATCAAGGTGCTGTGAGCAAGAAAATAATGACCCAAGGAATTCTGAAGTATAAATTTCTACGTACACCTCTACCCCGATATAACACGACCCGATATAACACAAATTCGGATATAATGCAGTAAAGCAGCGCTCCGGGGGGGGTGGGGCTGCGCACTCCGGTGGATCAAAGCAAGTTCGCTATAACGCGGTTTCACCTATAATGCGGTAAGATTTTTTTGGGGCTCCTGAGGACAGCATTATATCGGGGTAGAGGTGTATTTTCAAAAAGATAGGCCACAAAAAAACCCACTATGGGCATATTGCTCCCATATGTAAACCTAGTAACGTACCGCATTATTACATATATTAAAGCAGTGGTTCATAAATTCTAGCCATGACTAAGTGGAGCCTTTCCCATTAGGCTGCAGTGTGAAACATTTTGAGAACCCAGTGGCAAGGAAATGGGTAGCTGGGAGGAAAGGTGGCTTATGAAGGGTTTTTTTTTGTTTGTTTGTTTTTCCCTTCCTTTTTCTTTGCTTGTTTTTGGGGGGGGAGGGAGAGGAGAATAGGCAAAGAATGGAAAAAGTTTAAGAATCCCTGTACTACAGTGCATAGAAATGATAATCATCCCAGATGTGCTTATGTCCATTTTGAATATTCAGATGTGGAGAAGCATTTTCTGCTATGTGTAAATTGTAAGATGCATTTGAAAGTACTTCAGTTTCTGAGTCTACTATTGGCAGTGGCTCTCTTGATGAAGATTCCATTTGTGACAATAGCAGTGTAGCATAGTGTGGTTCTAGCAGCATGACAGAATGCAAATTGTATGTGATTGGTGATTAACTTTTTAAAGTTGCCTTGTATTACTGATTTTTCTATGTACAGCATGTGATTCCCTCACTTTAAAGCTGTGGTTATTTTGAAACTCACTGAAGCTAAAACTTTAGAGATGAACAAATTTAGAAGCATTAGGAGTGTTAATAGAAATGGTGCAAAGAAAGAAGGGCCAAAAACAAAGGAAGAAAGACAAAATAAGGAAGTTACAAGTGGCAGACTGGCATTGTGGTGTTCTTTCAGGGACCTGTGCCAGAAAGAGAATAGTTAATTAGTTACTCACCACACACAGCAACATTGTCTTCACATTCCCAATTATAGCTCTGTATCTTGGGCTTACAGCCTGCTTGCTCTGCCTTACTGTAGCAGCAGTCATGCTTAAAGCAGCACCTGACAGCAATAAAAAGATGGATTTATGTTTATCTCACTATAATATTGTGTGGTCATAATGTTTGTAATGCTTTTGTTGGCACGCTTTTCCTATTAACACAGTACACTCTCACTATAACAAACCTGTTGGGATCCATGCCTTTTTGTTATAGCCAGGGGTTCGTTATAGCGAAAGGACAATCAAAAGGAATGAAACTGCTGGAGTAAGTTAATGAAGTCGCCTTAGATAAAGGAGTTAGCTTAATTAATAAAATAATGATGATAACTAAGGCTAGGAGTTGGTCACAGAAGGTGATTTTAGGTGACCTTTCTACCTTCAGCCATCGTAGAGAGGGTCAGGTTGTCAGCCCCTGCAGCAGCTGGGTTCCAGGCTGTCAGCCCCCACCTCAGCGGGGCTTTGGCTTCAGCCCTGGGAGGCTGGATGTGGGCCCATTCCTTAGTTTCTGCCCTTGGGCTTAACGTGATGCTGAACAAAAATTGTGCAGGCATGTGCAACATCTTAAAAAATAAATAAATAAATAAAAAGACTGTCCTGTAGTTGGGATCCAGGGACCAGGTCCGTTCTAGCGGAAGGTTTGTAATAATGAAGGGCATTATAGCAAGGGTGTACTGTACATAGACTGTGCAACTACAAAACACTAAATGTCTCCATGAACAAATTCTTCTAGATCCAGTCAAGAGTCTTAATGAGAGAATAGATAATTGGCTTTTAATGTAGTATAGCACTTAAACATTCTTTCGCCATGTTTATTCATATATCCTAAACCAGTATTGAAGAAAACGAGTACAATATCTAAGATCCACAGTACCTAATCTAGCTGCGTGTGTACTTTTTTGCTCTCAAATGATCCTATCAGGATATTTTGGCAGTATTCTCTAATCACAGTGACCTTTGTGTCTCCCAAGAAACTGCCCAGTGACAGGGCCCAATCACACTACAGCTACGTCCACACTACACACCACTTTTGGTATCAGGTAGTGCATATATGTAGCTCCCCTGTCCAGCATCAGGGAGCTGGCAGAGCCTTGCCCCACTGCCAGAGCTTTTTCCTGCAGTGCGAGGAAGGGCTTCAGCAGAGGGCAGGCAGCTGGAGGCTACATTGCTACAAATAGCAATGTATCTGGTGAGGCATGGCTTAGGCAAGTAGAGTAAAGACAAGTCTGAAGTGTGCAGGTATGTAGTGGAGTACGTATCCTACATGGCTCACAGCCCCACACACTCAGCTACATACTCCCTTCAGGTGTGTCTTTATTTGCCTAAGTTCTGCCTCACTGTCTCCATTGCTGTTTATACCTGGAGGAGATTACATGGGTATGTACACTACACACCATGAAAATAAGTGTGCAGTATAATAGTACACTGGCACAGTTGTCTGCCACAGTTAAGGGCATCCATTTTTAGTTTTTATTACTAATCAAGATAAGAAATGCAGTAAGATCTATTATGAAATAGTATTGTTTAAATAAAGACATTACTTAAGCTGTAACACTGTCCCTTAATTGTGGTAGAGAACCAAGCAATACCTGTAGAGTGTATGGCCATACAGTGAACAGACATGACTACTGTATAATCCAGGGGTGGGCAAACTATGGCCTGCGGGCTGGATCCGGCCCCCCAGGGCTTTGGATCCAGCCTGCATGGGCCCTGCACCGCTCTCAGAAATGGCAAGCACCACGTCCCTGCGGCCCCCGGGCAGGGGGGCAGAGGGCTCTGTGCGTTGCCCTTGCCTCCTGACACCGCCCCCCGCAGCTCCCATTGGCCGGGAATGGGGAACCGCAGCCAATGAGCGCTTCGGGGGAGGTACCTGGAGGCGCGGCAAGGGCAGGGCATATGGAGCCCTCCAACTCCCCCTCCCCCAGGGGCTGCAGCGCTTCCTAGAGCGGCGCAGGGCTGGGGACAGGGCAGGCATGCAAGGAGCCTGCCCTGGCCCGGTGCGTGCCGCTGCCACCCCAGAGCCCAAACCCCTCCTGCACCTCAACTCCCTGCCCTAAGCCCCCTGCCTGCACCTTGCACCCTTCCTGCACCCCAACTCCCTGCCCTGAGCCCCCTTGTACACCCAGGACCCCTCTTGCACCCCAACCTCCTGCCCTGAGTCTCCTGCTGCATCCCAACCCCCTTCCCTGAGCCCCCTCATACACCCCGCACCCCTCTTCTGCCCCAATCCCTTGCTCTGAGCCCCTTCCTGCACACCACATCCCCCTCCCGCACTCCCTCCCACACCCCAACCCCCTGCCCCGGCCCTGCATACAATTTCCCCACCCAGATGTGGCCCTCTGCCCAAAAAGTTGCCCACCCCTGGTATAATCAGAATAAAAGCAGAATTGTTGCTTAATTGGGATTTATTTGGACAACACTGATGAATTAAGTTGTTAAGTGTCATTTAATGAGTGAAATTGAATTGCTAATGTAGAAAAAATTTGGGGGTAACTCAAAGTGACTCACCCTTCCTGTTTTTTTTTAAAGCCTTCATAATTAGCACAGCTAATATAGAAAAGCTATATAGGAAAGAGTATTTTATTGTAAAATTGCTAGCATTTCATAAACCTTCTCGATTCTTGAGCCAGAGTCACTACTCTTGCAACTACCTTTGACAACTGGGGACATTTTGGGGGGGTCTGGAATTAGGGGGCTGTAGGCTCTGCTACAAACTCTGGAGTCTGAACTATGCAATAGTTACTGATACACTCTTTTTGCTCAGATGGAGAGTAGGATGTGTTAGTGAGCCCTTTTTGCTCAGTGATGACATCTGGTCTCGTCTGGTGACAAACAAATATAGTATTGCAGTGCGTATATGATTTTTTTTAGATTGGCATGTTTCACTTTTTAGGATCTGGACCTACAAAGATTTAAAAAGTAGTGCTTTGACTCTCAGCACTATCAAGAATTTATTTTTATCTTGATTTCACAAATTGCTGCCAACAGTGAATAAACAAGTGATTTTTATTTTTATTTATTTATTTTGCTAAAATTTGTTAAACTAATACTTGGCAGCTCGACATGACCTTTCATCTAAAGATTGCAAAGTGCTTCACAAACAAAGTTTCACAATGCTCCTGTGATGTAGGTAAATATACGTATTTGACAGATAAAGAAACAAAGCACAGAAAAAATTGGTGACCTCTCCAAACTCCCTCAGCAGGACTGAGGTAGTCAGAATATAGCCCAGGAAGCCATGGTTCCCAGCACCATGTTCTAACTACTAGATTATGGTGCCTCACGGACTTAACATTTATTATGTTTATGGAAAAACAAACAGCCTTTGCCTAGCTGAAGTTGGGGAATTAATTTTTAATCCATTTGTGTTTCAAATGGTTAAATACAGAAGTGTGTTTAAGAATTGCTATGTCTTACTTTTGATTTTATGAAAGTAACATAGCTGTAGTGATGTCATCAAAACTTCAAGAAATAAAACAGGGAGAATAAGAACGCAGCTGCCCTTTGTGAAACCCAAGTATGCATAAAGGTCTTGTACTTTCTAATTGCTGTCCAAATTGAGAAGCTCTGTAAAGATGTCTTAAAAATGAAGACAAAAGAAGGCAAGTTGTGTACCCACTAAACCCATACCACAAATAGCTAGCCATATTTTATAAGCCGGAAGCTGGCTTGCCACCAGGGGCTCTTTATAGTATCTGAAAAAATATACACCAGAATGAAGGATTTGAGCTTACAGTGACCACAAGAAAAGAGGAATACTCTTCCTTCCATCTGTAGTCTTAATTTAGTAATTAAAATAGCAATTACCTTCCACAAAATTGTCTACAAAATAAATGTCAGAAGTTGCATTCAATAGCTTCAAATATCCAGACAGAGGATCATAAAATTTACTCCACGTAGTCAAGATTTCAGTACAACAAAGGAGTTTAAAATGTGATCTGTTTGTATATTCTAGCCCTAAAGAAATATTCAAAATAAAGTTCTGCTTTCCTGTTGGTTACAATACCATTTACTGTTAGGGTACCAACATCCCCAATTTGGGGTGCAACAGATAATGCAGAGGAGGGGAGTATCTTAGTAGATTCATATTCCCAATGATGATCTTTAGGAGGCATTTTGTAGGTGTTTACTTGGTAGTATGGTTACTACCAAGTGTCGTTTAAGATGTTAACATCAGTATGGATCCCACTGTAACCACTCATGCTCATGTAACCAGATCTTATTTTTCATAGTGTCTTTGGGGCTATGCATGCTTGTGCTTATGTGCTTCCATACAAATCCAAGAGCAAGGAATTTTAATGAATCTTTAAACTCCCTGTAACAGGAGAATTGCTAATATATTTGCTATTTTTAAGAAAGAGGCGGTGGGGGGAGTAATCCAGGCAACTACAGGCCTGTTAACTTGACCTCAATTATATGCAAGGTCTTGGAACAAATTTGGAAAGAAAAAGTAGTTAAGGACATAGAGGTGAATGGTAATTTGGGTAAAATACAATATGGCTCTTCAAAAGGTAGATTGTGCCAGACCAACCTGATCTCCTTCTTTGAGAAGATAACTGCTTTTTTTTAGATATTAGATCTTCTGCATTTCCTTTATCTGGATTTCAGTAAGGTATCTGATACAGTTCCACATGGGGAAAATATTTAATTAAATTGGAGAAGATGGAGATTAATATGAGAATTGAAAGGTGGATAGAAACTGGTTAAAGGGGAGACTTCAGTATGTCATACTGAAAGATGAACTGACAGGCTGGAGGGAGGTTACTAGTGGAGTTCCTCAGGGATGATCTTGGGGGGTGAGGGGGGGTGCTCTTTTTATTATTGACCTTGCCACAAAAAGCAGGAGTGTGCTAATAAAATTTGCAGATGACACAAAGTTGGGAGGTATTGCTAATATGGAGGAGGACCAGAATATCATACAAGAAAATCTGGATGACCTTGAAAACTGGAGTAATAGAAATGCAAGGTCATGCACTTAAGGACTAACAAACATTTTTGCTATAAGATGGGGATGGCAGTTGGAAGTGATAGAGGAGAAAGACTTTGGTGTGTTGGTTGATCACAG